TGTCATTCTGGATCGCATCCACAACCAGGATGTATTCCGGTCCGATCTGCGTGAGCAGTATCGCAATATGAGTCTTGTCACCGATTGATCCTGGAGCGATGGCATTCAATCGATGTACGAGCAGCCGTACGCGATCAACAAAATCACGTGCACTGGCGCATCGTTCGCCGGTTGTCTCGCGAAGTTGAGCAAACAGTTCGCAGAAGGTGGCGAGTTCCATTCGCCGGTACCGTTCTTCAAGTTCATTCCAAAGGTCACGGGACGTCTCTAGTCCCGCGACATGAATGCTGATGTGGGGGGACAGGTACCGGAAGATGGTGTGGTAGGCCTCGGCTTCACGGCGCGACCATTCACGGTGGCGCTCGAATGCCTGGACCTCCACTTCGAGGCGCGCTTCAATGGCTCGCTGCCTCACCGCCCCATTGAGGTGGGGCTCCACCAAGGGGTGGATGTCCGCCGTAATAGGTTTGGCGTACTTGAATAGACAGTCGGGACCCTGAAGGTCGCCCGACACGACATCCCAGACCTGCCTGGCTTTGAGGTAGGAGGTCATGAGACGTTTCCAGGTCGCGAAGTTATCGCTTCCCGTCAGAGGTTCGATGGCCGTGACGGCTCGGTCAGGAGAGTCATGGACCAGAGCAGACATAGTGATGATTGCGAAAGCGGGGTAGATATATAATCAAGGTAGATGAGATGATTCTCAGATGAGTAGAGACGGCACCCGAGATTATGCTCTCGGGCTCATAACCTGTTGTAGTTCAAAGATATGGATTGAGTTATTCTTCCAGAGGGATACATGAGCCTATATATACAGCAATGAGCCAAGTTGATTTCCAATCAACTTGGGTTGTCCATATTGATACCTCGGACTTAATTCCGACGGTGCGGCTTGGTTCCTGATCTGCACCAGCCTCATGTCACAACAGAAACAACTGTACATGTAGCCTAGTAGCCTGGTACATGAACCTTATTTCGAAACAGTAATCACAACGCACACACGCTTTGACAGTGAGCGGCACAGCAAAAGTTAGGAAGCTCCTCTGGATTACATAATATTCCGCCGTCTAAAAACTGTATACCACATTCAGGACTCAGGACAAGGCTCATGACTACCTAGCCCACTCTTCATAATTCAGTGTTCACATTTGTGCAAAGGGCGGCTTGTTTCCGACTAGGGTAAATAAATCAAATTTTCAGAATTTTAAACAATGCCATCGGCTCACCAAATATTTACCTAAATTTACTGTATCTACAAACCGGCTCCTCAAAAATTTCATTTTATTATGGACCCTCACGTAAGGAGCCGGTTAGTTACCGCCTACGTAGCAAGAAAAACACCGGTGACAGAATATATCAATTATCTAGAATGAAGTCGATATGTTACAGGCAGAACAGTCGAAAAATAAAACACAATTTTATTCAATACAAATAAGTAATGTCGTAAACACTCTCATAAATGTAAGATAGGCCAAAATTTAGCCAGGTTCCAAAGTCCAGAAAGATATATTCAATATTTGAATTGAGTCGCCGAGCGGGCGCTCAAAAAGCCACTGTCCCGCGGCTCGAACTAAACTGTGAAGGGCTGAAGCAAGACTTGATTCAATCTAACTAGGCCAACATGCTGTTTACAAAAAGCTTGGAGAAGAGAAGGAATGGACGGAACAAGCGGAACTCCGATAGAAGAAGCGGGCTAGGCGGTGGCAGAACGGAAGTGCGGGGAAAGGGCTGGCTATATACTGTAGCAGGGCCATAGTAAGAAGCGTAACCCGTGACATAAACAGTGCATATTGTAGAAAATCCGTAAAAAAGCAGGACTTCGGTCAAGGTCGGCCAAGTGCATGACCGTTTCAAATGGCAACGAAAGTAGATTGATCTGAACGCAATTAAATCGATAAAATCGTGTAGAGATGAATTGGTTCAAAGTGAGGAAATAATGGCGGGCGGTGAAACTGTGGCCGAACCTTCAAAGAACGATGCCTTTAAATGAGGGGCGTGTACGGAGTAAAAACGTTATAGAGCTTGGTGGAAGTGGGCACCCACCTGAGCGACATGTTGCGACGTGAGGACACTACGTTTAGTCATCTCCCTGGCTGGTCCCGCTCAGCTGGAACCCGGGTGGGAGTAAGGTAGGACTGAAAAGATTGGCTAACCGACAAGGCCTTCTCCACCTCAAGCGTAGGTCCGTGCATTGCCCCCAAGGTCTCGGACAAGAAGTTACACCGTATGTACAGTGGTGTTTCATAAGTCTTCGACCACCTCCGCTCCACCGCCTAGTCTTCCGCTCTTAGCGAGAAGTTTGCTGGCATAGAAACGGCCAAGAAAGTAGTTCCAAGGTCATTTGCTGATTGGTGCCATACAAAATTAATATTAAGCTCTATCTACCAACTCGAACAACTATATATGAATGCGTAATGCGACAAATATGGAAAGTTTAAGACTGGCAAAATATTATGTCATCACCAGGGTGGTCGAAGACTAATGAAACACCACTGTATTTCAACCTGCTTACGAGAAGTCCGCGTCATTCCGAGCCAGTTAAAAGTTTAAGAAAGTTTTTCTTTCAGAAAAAAGCTGGAGAGAATTCATTGAACCGATAGGAAGCCAGAAATGCCAAGTACGCACAAATCCCTCAACTATTGCTATTACAACAAAGAGTATACTAGCGATCTTGCTACCAAGGGCATTAATTAAAGGTCATACTGAGAATGCCAAGCCGCCTCGTGTTTGCACGACTTGTTCTTGTCCGTCTATTTGCTGCTATGGGCTTTCGTCGTAACGTCTGATACTGCAATCTCACCACAGCAATGCCATCATTCTACTCTTGGCTCCTAGATTCCCAAGTTCCTTGTTATCCGCCAATTTATGCAGAATTCCTGGTCTGCCCCAACTCTCCTTGGTGTAGTCAAAATATAGTGCTAATTATAGACAGATCACCGTGAGTACGCTCGTGCTATGTAGCTCGTGTATCATTTTCGGGCTTCACTGCCTTCTGTACGGCCGTTTTGAACCTACAGAAAGCGAAGAGCTATATGCAAGACTTGCCCCAGCTACTCTGGAGTCCATGATGACAGTAATCATCCTCGACATAGACGTCGACATGGAGTTTCTATGGTTGTTTACCGCACTACTAGCGGGAAGGATGTGGATCTGGATAGGGGAATGGAGGGTCGAGTCGCTCTATCAAGCGCGGGCTCTACGAATGCGCACCTATCTCCGCGTGCTCGCTGGTCTCGTATTATCCTTAATTTTCGAGATGTTCATGCTGAGTTACATTTTCCGCGCCACACAGCAGCTCGACAAGGCAAGGCTTGTAACGATGTTCAGTTTCGAGCATACAATCTTGTCGATATCGGCAATGTCAACAACGCTGTCCGCCTTTTCGCTACTTGAAGAGGCTTCCTTGAAAACCCCCGTACAATCAATCCCGGGGCCCCGGTCAGCGGACCTCATGGTCGCGGGCGGAATTGTTACACCAACGGCTACGGATGTATCGACGGAAAATGACCGCGGTCGTCTAGACATTGCAGCCGACGAACGAAGAGACGGAAGGCGACGGATGATTTTCCTTCGCGCGATAACAGGTAGATACTGCTACATTCACGAACTGATCAGTTCTGTTTCAAACCTGGCGTTGCTAATATACTTGGTAGAGTGCGCCGTGCTATCTGTCAGCCTATCCTTCTGTCTTGTCTGTCTTGTCTCTTATAAGCGCCCCATCATCACTAGCCATATATTTGCCACTTCCCTCTCGCTCAGAAAGCGCCTACGTGACTTTTTTAAGTACCAACGGGCACTTCACGCAATCGACGGGCGCCATTTCGATGCGACAGCTGAACAGATAGGGGAGGCAAATATCTGTTGTATTTGCCATGAGCGTATGTGGCCGTGGCAGCAAGACTACGCTGTGAAAAGACTTAATCCAAATGGAGACGAGGAGACACCGCAATATGCACAATCAGAGATGTCTCGAACGAAAAGGCTGCCTTGTGGCCATTTATTTCACTTAGGCTGCCTCCAACAGTGGTTTGAAAAACAGGCAGTTTGTCCACTGTGCCGAGTAACCGTTTATATTAATTAATGACGGTCGGTTCGTTTCAAGGTGGTCTGCAAGGACCAGCTTCCCTAATAGTGAAACGGGGGTGAAACGAGGGTGAAACGGAGGTCGATTCCGCCCAAAAGCAACTCGCGACCAGTCATCGTGTGGAGCTACTCTGACGCTGCTTCTCCCGTCCGGAATCAATCACGATTATCGAAGCCCTCTTGCGACCAATACATTCTTTAAGCTTCTCGCTGTGCGAACCGTGTGTATGGGAGCGGGCCCTATATATTCTTCACAGGTCCCTCTTTCTTCCAGCCCTATCTGTGCAGCGGCGTGTATTCTCGTCCAGCGCGAAATTTCTCTTTGCGCATTCTCCTTCATCGCTGGCTGGACGTTCAGCCCGTTTTGACACGCCATTGTTCAACAACTTGGCCTTTAAGCGATCGCTCCGATGGACAGCCTCCCGAAGTGCAGAAGCCCTGAACATTATGGCATAAACGCCAGCTATATCTATGAATACTCAAGGGGAACACAGGGGCTTGATGTTCATCGGGACATACTCTTCACAAGGATTGTTGTCATTTTCATCATCTCCATGGCTCTCATTATTTTGTGCGGCCGAATTGCACAATTATGCTACGCTTATCTCCGTCAAATCAATTCCGTAGCAGCAAACAGAAGGCAACAAGCATTCTGGAGCATTGAAGACTCGCCAGCGTGGGCAAACACGAAGAAACATCTACTATGGGCACCGATGGGCAGGAAGAGACACAACAGAGAAATCCAGCTCTCTTCTGCCGTCAATGTAGGCACTCTACCTTCCAGATTTCAAGGCATCTTGATTATGCTATATTTTGCAAGCCAAATTGCTTACTGCGGCCTGCTGGATTATAATGGAAAAATAAAAGCAGCGATCTTTGCTGAACTTCGTGCACGATCGGGAACGCTGGCTGTTTTGAACATGCTGCCTTTGTTTATTTTAGCTGGCCGAAATGACCCATTTATCCCACTTCTACGCGTGAGCTTTGACACTTACAATCTGTTTCATCGATGGTTTGGCCGTATCGTGGCGATTGAAAGTGTCGTCCATACTGTCGCATGGGTAGTCAATGCATTTGACGAGGGTGGTCAGTCTGGTATGCTCGAACGCCTTCGCACGACACCGTTTTTCACTTGGGGCATGGTTGGGACTGCTGCCATGCTCTTTCTCTGCCTGCACTCACCTTCTCCAATCCGTCATGCATTTTATGAAACCTTTCTGCACTTGCACCAGCTTGCAGCCTGCTTGACCCTTCTTTGCGTCTTCCTGCACCTGGATCTGGATGGGCTCCCTATGAGAACTTGGACGGTAGCCGCTACCGCTATATGGTTTCTCGAACGATTCGCCCGTCTCACCTGCTTGATCCACTTGAACTTTTCGCTTAATGAAGGCACAACAAAGCTAGTCATTGAAGCTCTCCCTGGCGAGGCCTGCAGAGTCACATTCCACCTACCGAAACGAGTCCTGCTTAGGCCGGGTAGCCACGTATATGCTTACATCCCAATCATCTCGCTATGGATGTCACATCCTTTCTCCGTCGCTTGGGTCGAGTCAAGCACCCGTGCGATTGCCTGTGAATCAGCGGGAATGCATCTGAAAGCTCGCTCAATAAACGCATCGAGTCTCGAGAAGCAGGCAATAGTGGATTTTGAAAAGCACTCTCCTCGTGACTCTCAGCTGACGTCTGTGTCCCTTATTGTGTGTGCTCGTCGGGGTATGACGCGCAAGTTGTATAACAAGGCCGCCGTAGCGCCAGGACAAACCCTCTACACATCGGGCTTTATAGAAGGCCCGTACACCTGTCATACCTCCGATGCAGGGAGTTATGGTACCGTCATACTATTCTCAGCTGGCGCAGGTATCACGCATCACATGCTGTTAACGCGCGATCTGATCATCCGCGCCTATGAACGCCGGGCAGCAACACGGCGCGTCTGCCTCATCTGGTCCGTCCGTAACACGGAATATCTCACCTGGGTACGAACTTGGATGAACCAGATCCTCCAGCTCCCTTCCCGCCGTGAGATCCTCACGACTCTACTGTTCGTTTCCAAGCCCAGAAATAGCGAAGAAATTGTTTCGCCTAGTTCCACCGTCAAGATATTTCCCGGGCGATGCTGTCCGAATGTTATTTTAGACCAGGTGCTTCCCGAGCGAGTGGGCGCCACCCTAATCTCGGTATGCGGCCCCGGCGCCTTTGCGGATGAAGTGCGGGTCGCCGCTCGAATGAAGACGGGAAGAGGCATATTTCTTGATTTTGTCGAGGAAGCTTTTACGTGGTAAATTTTACTTCCGAAAATACAATATGCGCTGCACAGCGGTGCTTCAAATCTAACTTCGACGCGCAAAGCCCTAGCGAGGGCGTTTGTGGCCTTATATAACGATGTTCGCATCACTTCGGAACCGAGGAAGACCGGGATACCTCTTCTATGACAAGTGATGCTCTTACTCAGGAAACATCCGACCAATCAATACAATAATCGGCAAGGGCCTGCTATATGGCTCGTATGATGCTGGGTCAACGAAACGCAAACCATGGCCCGTCCCAGCATGGGTTCGAGAGAGAGAAGCAGCTGTCTGGGATAGCTTGGAAGCGGTTTGAATTAAGAAAAGACATTACTAAGCTGTAATATTGGGCGAAGACTTCCTGTATGGAGAGTATCGATAGCTTGGAAGGAGGGAAAACAATGGCCCGTCTTAGGATGCACTCTATCCGGAGCAGCAGGGCTGCCTGTGATAGCTTGGAAGGAGGGGAAACTATGGTCTATCCCACGAAGGGTTCTCGAGAGATGCAGATCTGCCTGTGGTAATTTGGAAAGTGGCGAAATGAATAGAAAGCTGTGGAGATCCTGAAAGAGCCCATAACTTTCCTAACGCAGCTTCTAGAAACGTTATAGAGTACAAAATATGCCCTGACACGGTTGTAGTTAAGCTATATTCTAGCATATCGCGCTGTATGCGCTGCCCCAACGACGCAGACGGTGTATACTTATACTTATCCGCGTTCCCCGGCTGACTGCCGTTCGAGGGAACATGGCCTGCTCATTCTTGTCTCTGAAGTTCCTGCACTGGATTCGGGCACCGCTTGCGACTGCGCACATGATGCACATCAAAAGCATGGCGCTGGAACGCCATTTGGTGTAGCAAGGCTACTTCACACCAATTGCACTTGAGTGGCTTTTCTTTCAGGTGAATAGCGTCAAAATGGCGCGTAACACACCCAGCGTCATGATACATCTGTAAGCGAACATGGTCAGGGAGCCCCTTGTTTGCAAAGCATTGAAAGCAAGCCACTGGCTTCTCAGAATTCTCGAGGTATTCCTTACTAGCACGCGACGGCTTGCCGGCGACAGAAACAGGTACCTCACATGAGTTAGCAACATTTTGGGTCTGCTCTGTATCTTGCGGTCGGATAATGGGACTAGCCGACCTAGTGGATTCAGAGGCGTTCCGCTTGGGCCGGCCCCTTAAAGGACCCCCTTCTAGGACGCCACAATACTGCACTACGGCTGCAGCACCTGTATCGCGCCGATTCCACTCATCCTCCAACGAGCTGGAGATTGGGTAGGAAAGAAGACTCTGCACTAGGTGTAACTGAAGGGGGTGCATAGTGTCCTCCAAGAATGATTCATCCTCGCTCTCTTCCTTGGCCACTATAGCAGACAGCTGTGCCTCGATATCCAGAAATGCTTGCTCTTCATCAAAATTCTCTCGAATCTGATGCCGCAATCTCCTGTGTAAACGTTTTCGCGTGTTTCTCACTTCTTTTTCCAGTTGCTGGATCCGGGGGAGCAGGGCGGGCTGCTGGGTCTTCTCGTATTGGGCACGAATATTGCTTAGATTGCGCCGGGCCTCTTCCAACTCAGGATGATTCTCAAGTTGTGCCCTTTGTTCATCAGTCAAATAGCGTGGGCGTCGCGTGTCCCGCCAACGACTTTGCCGCGTGACAGCTCGCATCAGGTCTACTTCCGGGTCGAGACCACAGATAATCCGGATCATATCGGTGTCAAGTTGCAGAGGATGATAGTGGTCGAGAAAGGTCCGGGGGCTGGCGTGCTTCATGATCAACATGTGTTGTTCCTTGCTCACCCACCCTACAGACTACATTAGCCACCGACGGAAAAGAAGGGAGAGAAGTATTAGTGGCCTCCGTAAAAGTACTTACCGCTCTCGTTGATCACTTTACCACTTCCATAACGGAACTGATGGGCATGGAACGCCCCTTTCCACCCACGGATCTCCCCGAAGGTGACCAGCAAGGTGGACATGGCCGACTTGGACATCTGCACGGTCCGCTGAATGGTGGGAACGCCATTGACCAGCTCCGTCTTACAGAATATATACCAATCAGACTTGTTCGGGTCTAAGGGCACCAGGAGCTGCTCACAGCCTTTGCTGATAAAGAGTTTCCGTAGCTGAGCCTTCGAGGTCAGCCTCGAATTCCGGAATGCGCGCGCATGGAACAGGATGCCGAAAAGCAATGTATGCGGGCATATCACCAGAGAGGGACCATAAACGATCTCGGGAAGTGCAAAAGTAGTCCTGCTGATTGGTTAGCTGCATGACCCTAGCCAGAGATTCCGGAGACGAGAAAGATACTATGTATCTGGGGGTAGCCGGGGAATCGAGAGAGGGAGAGACGGAAATTGCGCTCGCCGTACAATTTGGTCAGACCGAGGAATTTTTCGGTCCCTTCGGGAGTAAGTTCAATCATAGGGATGGGTGGGCCTCCACGAGGGTCCTTCTGAAGGGAGATTTGCAGGTCCTTGAATTGCATGCTCAACAAAGCATTCCTCCGGTGCACAGTGAACAAAGCGAGTGAGTTGAACAGGCACACCTGGATGCGTTGGAATCCTAGGTAAAATCTCTTCTCCTGCGTCGACAAAATGGTCTCGTTAAACGGCCCAATATCCTCGATATAAACTGGCGTCTTCTTTCCAGGCTGTGTATCTAAGCCATGCTCTTGGACCAAATACTTCATACCCTGTCTTCTGCGGTTAGACGAGCTGACTAAACAGGTCAACAAAGAAAGAATTCAAGTGTTACTGACCCTCCGTACATCTGAGCCATCCTCATCATTGATTTTGATCTTGGTAAGCTTTTGGTAGTAGCCACGAAGGTTTTTCCAGTCCGTATTCAACGAGCTAGCTTTGTTGATACGTTTTAACCGTCGGTTATTCTTGCCACGCTCGAGCTTGAGACACCAGCCTAGGAAACGATACATGTCATTGTTCGACGCCTGGCGTAGCGCTTCCTCAGGCTCCCGCCATTTTGGCTCGCTGGGCTTGTTTAACACTTGGCTGACACAGTACCTATGCCTGTATTAGTAAAGAGTCAATCAGGGCAAATCTCCGTCATCACCAACCGTTTCCACCGAGTCTCAATCCGCTCTCGTCGTTCAATGGTGCCCGGTGCTTTGTCGAAATCCTCAGGAATCTCAGACAGATCAATTCCATCATCATCTAGTGGATCATCGTAGAATTCTCCTGACTCGCCAGGGAGCCCTAGCTCCAAGGCAGAGCAGTTTTCATCCGACCGAAGACGTTTTCGTGGGCTTGTGGCATCGTCCGCCTCCGTCACATCCGTCTCATAAGTAGCATCGCCCTGCTCATCGGAGTCGCTAGTAGAAGTCGCTGTCATATCATCCTCGCCACGGGCACTTCCCAGCTTCCTACTTGTCCGGGGTCGAGAACGCTTCATTGGTGGGATCGGCGGAAGTACAGGGACGGGGAAGGGACGGAGGCCGTGGGAGGGACTGAGGCGACGAAACCACGATACGGTCAAGCGGCCGGCAGTGCACTAATAGAAGAACGAGCGGCAGGTGTGCGGGGAGATACACCCAAGGTCGAGAAAGCAGGAAAGGCGGAAAGAATGAAAAACGAAGAATATGAAGGAAAGAGCCCCTGGTAGGCCGAGGGGGGATACACTCGCGACCGCGGGGGCAGGATGGGTGGAAGAACGAAGAATATAAGGGAGATGGGCCACGGTAGCAGGCTTGCGCCATCGTGACTTGGCCTGTGGCCAGGCCCCATTTAACGGGGTGCAGTGAGGCCATTTTTGGCGCCCTCGCAAAGCGTCCAGAGGGAGCCTTTGACGGAGGCAACTGAATTGCTGGGGTGTGTTTACGAGTGGGTCTGGCTGGTGCGTGGTGGTAGCGGGACGGGGACGTGTCGAAAGTCCGAGGTCACGTGTTACCAAATGACGGCCGAAAAAGGCGTCGACTGACGCCGAAAGTGGCAGTCATTTGGTAAACCCAAATTGTATAGTAGCAGTGCTAGGCTGCTTTATCTTTCCAAGCGAAAACATACATTGACGGAGACCAAGAGCAATGAGAGTCTAAGCATAAGCGATCGTTCCTCATCGTATTGCCAGATCATGTAGCAATATCATACCGAGTGCGCTAGAGTACATTATTCTTCTTTCTTGAATTCGTACCTAGTTGTCACCAACCCTGCAGCGCCCAACTATTTGAGCCCGCCGCAGCCCACTGATTAAATCCAGTCTTATGCATTACATATACCTCACTTTTATCCAGGACTACGACCAAAAAATCTTCAAACCTGCTGAGGCCAGAGAGCAGAAGCGAGAGGATACCCACTGTCGGGACGGATGTGTTTTGTGTATATAAGGCCAAAGTATATTTTCTCTTCCACAAATTCACGCTAACCAATCGTGTCTGGTAATTATGGTGAGACCAAACAAGTAGTCGCGTTTGTTACACGACGAACGAAACAATAAACGAGATGACTGTGCTGATCAATGGGACGACCTTGCCAAGGCCAATGGGTAAACTGCCGCCAGATGTGGTCGACGGGGTCATCGTTGAGTCATTGTATGAACCAACCAATGTCTGGAGCCGGTCTTCGCCCTCAACTAAAACCAGCGCCATCCCACTCTGCACGCATACTTAGCATTGCGTATCCAAATATTAAAGGAATAAGATGAAACGAACCACAATATGCCACTGGATATGGCAGTGAAGTATCCATGCCCCAGGATTATCGGTCACGTAGCTATTTCTATATTAGTCACGTTGCAGCAGGAGCATTCTGCATGGAAGACTCACCGAATTGCGAGCCATCCTGATGGTGGCAAATTCGCTGTGTCCCTATATGGTGGATCGTCAAGGTTGATAATGGACGATGGCGCTTCCGCCATGGACTGATAAGGAAACGAGCCACTGCCAGAACCCAGTACCCAGAACTTGTGACCGTGAAGGTGCATTGGATGGCCCATCTGCCTCAGGGTTAGTCAAAGGATGATCACGCACTTCTCACGGGATGTCATCACGCACAGTATCCATTGAGTCGTTCGCGATATTCATTACAATATCAATAGACGCGTTCGATGGCATATGTAGAGTAGTGCTTGCGTCCCAGAGATTCGAAGCATTTCCATATATAAGTGGAATCTCCGCCTCAGCATATGGGTCCTTGTTCACAACCCAAGTCACAATGCCCGTCTGATTGATTGTAAATTGTCGCGTGAGGTCCGCAGCTTTAGAGGACGGCGGCCTATTACCTTCAAAAGGCGATAGCTGCGTCTCATCTAGTTCACGGGCCCCGGTTTTAGCTGTGCCATTTGTCCGCATCCAAATGAAATCTGGGTCAACTGAAACGTTTGACGGAGACATCTCCATTCCTTCTACCTGCATGTGATGAATTGTCAGCAGGGATGCCGGATGGGTGAAACGATGATTACTCACAGCATAAGAAACTATGGCCTGGCCTTCCAGGACCTGCTGCATATCACCATTGGGATAAGTTGCAAACCTAAGGTAGTAATTACCAGGTTGCTGGTCGAGCTTAATCATTACGGAGTATCGCTGACCAAGGGCAATTTCCAGAACCTAGAAAAGTCAGAAAGAGATCAGGTTCCAGCGTACTCTGTGATGGACTCACTTTCACCTCCTGTGGTTTAACATAGAGGCCATCAGCAGCATAGATATGCATCGAATGACGGTCAAGGGATACCCTGAGAGCACTCACTCCTCCAGAATTGACCAGATTGAGGGCAAGCCATCCCTGCGAAGCATTCGCTGAGATAAGTAATTGGGGTGACGTAGTATTCTCGCAGGTGTCTGGCGGCAGTGAGCTGATATTGTACCCCTGTCGAAACAACATAGGCGGCATGCAGCCCCGAGCACTCAGTCCCATGTTTCCTGAACTGGCCATGCCCGTCTGGCCTGCCATAGATGATGATGGTCTCATCGTAGATACTGCCATCTGGCTACCGCTAGCGCCGCTCATGCTGCCATCCATCCGTTTCATCATTCCAGACATTTCCATCCCCGCAGACGTGGTTGTTGGTGTTGTTGTAGCAGAAGGCTCTTGTGCAGTAGCCGATTCCGAACTTATTCCCAACCCGGGGCCAGCGTCGAGGACGTACTTTGGCAGACATTCCACCCGGCCAAGTCCATTCGCAAGGATACTATCAACACAGCCAGGGAAGGCACCTGTTTGAAGATAACGCGCAAATATCGTATCCGAAAGTTCATGGGTCCAGTCATTCAAGAGTAAAGACACAGCGTCCTTCTCAGCCTGTAACATCTTATCACTATCGGATTTATAATCCGGAAGCTCCTCGAAAGGTCGACGGCGGGACGGTGCTGGCCGGATCAAAAGAGGTCCGCGTATGGCATCGTCGTAGTACGCGCGAAAGTGAGAATGATACCAGTAGAATCCGTACTCATTCTTCACGGAAAAGCGGTACGTGAAGTTCCCTCCGGGCAATATCGGATGCTTATAAGGTAAAATTAGTGAGTAGCCTCATTAGGGAGTCGAGGGACGTTATAGCAATCAACACTCACCTGAGTAACCCCCGGGACACCATCCATGTCCGGTGTTCCACGTTGTAGTATCCCTTTTACAGAGCGAGTTGAGAATAAAATTGGTAGGGTGACTCTCCCATATTTGACATACCATGCCAGTGAATCGTAGTGTTAACGGGCAAGTCATTCTTGACGAACACTTCCACATCGTCCCCCTCATCAACGTCGATTATCGGGCCTGGCTGTTGACCGTTGATAAGATAGACCGTACGAGAAAATCCGTCTGCCGATAGTCATCAGCCATCTGGTTCCTAGTAACCATCGGACAGCCCTGGGATACAAACCTGGACTACGCACAGCACTGTGTACAGTGAAATTGAAGGTCCGTAGACGGGCGAAAGCGCCAGTTGCGGCAAGGCAAGTAAGCAGAACATAAAGATGGAACGCGAAGGACGCCATTCTAAATTAGTTGCAAGTGAGTTCTGATATTCGGGAATTGCGAGCGTCGAGTATTTGATAAGTGTTGCGGCGACCGATGGCCCTTGCGAGCCACAGTTTCAAGGCGCCTTTGGAGACTTTAACTAGTGGGCCTTGGCACTGTACCAGGTCCACTCGTTTATTGCAGAGGATCAAGGGCAAAACATACTGGGGCAAAAGACTAACCGGTTTAGGTTTGGCCTATCAGTCTAACCGTCATACGTGGCAGTGCAAACTCCTGTTGCCGCCTGGAACCATCTGACCTAGAATGGTAATATTTACCTGTCCCAAAGGTATCCACCCCCTATGACGTCATTTTACGCACTAATCGCGCATAAATCAACACGAGAGCTCGTGGCTGGGAGCCATGCAACCCACCCTTCAATTTGCCGACTTGGCCAATATCTTGGTTTCAGGAGGTAAGACGTTTTCAGATGCAGTCTCGATCCTAGTGGATAAAGTGGGCTTAGACGCCCTTGCCCTGTTTGTATGCAGTTCACGTATACGACGCAGCCGTTAAACTTTGCTACTCGGACGTGGGCCCACTGGGGTTCACTTAGCTAACAATAAAATTGACTGCGTTGGCGCCTGCTGTTACAGTACCTCTGCGTGACTAGTCCGCAGAATTAACTCACAGAGCTGGACCATAGCCTCTTAATTGAACTTGCCAAATAGTAGACTCATGCAGCATTGCCGTCTTAAGCCAAGTTATTATTTTTGGGCGTCAAGGGGATAGGGAGTGTCCACCAAGGGGCGATCTGCGTGAGTGCACAACTACTCCTTTAGTTCATATTTCAGCTTAACACTCAAAAGCAAAAAGAAGCTAGTCTAGGCTTTCTGAATTGTCAGCTATTATCGTGTCGTTTTTTTCTTTGACCAATGTGATATAATTTAAAATGAGCTCTAGCAAGTTTGGCGTGAGTTGGTGATGGTAAATATCCCCTCGAGATACCTGATGTTTCTAGTACGTCCATTGATCTCTAGTAGTGCCCAGCTATCTCGACTCGCCCATCCCTTGAGGCGCCCGCTTTCCAAATAAAATGAGATATAAGGGACAGAACGAGTACATACAACTTTAGGGTGCAACCTCTGTTCTCTTTGATAACCTTTCTGGGTGTCATTACTTCAGCTAATGGGCGGGCCATCTATCCCAACTACTCAACGACTCTTCCCCGCCGACTGTCCCGGGCCTTACGAGCGGTTTGGAGTCTCCGTCGATCTCTCTTGCAGTCTTGATTTAATTCACATATTTATCGCAGACTTATCATCTCTTCTGTAAGGGTGACGGAGTAGTCGGGCGGTGTAACTCTCATACACCAAGAAAAGACATTGCGACCACATTGCGATGGTACGACGATTAACGTAATCAGCCACCTGAATGCAGACAGACACACACACACACACACACACACACACACACACACACAGAGAGGGAGAGAGAGAGAGAGAGAGAGAGAAAGAGCTGTATATCCAGAAGGCAGCCTGTCTGCAGATGATCACCTGACCATTTCTTTACTTGGTCAATTCAATTTGGAACTTGTTGGTCAACTGTAGTAAATATTGGGTACCGTGTCCTAGAAATTGACACTTAAGTAGAAGCTTTCGCACGGACGAATTATCCGTCATTCCGACGAGACAACCGGCCTCCAAGCCTCACTGAAACAGAAGGAAATCCAAGTGTCATCGCTCTCGGTATGCTCAAACGGGCCGGGAAACTCCATCTACCTGGCCTCTGCGGACCTTCTTCCCCTTCTCTTTGATGGCTTCGAGAATGGCTTCGTAGGAAAGCGAGGGCTCCGCAACTACGACAACACTCTGTTCCTCGAGGCTGATCGCGAGAGACTTTAAACCTGCAAAGCATTAGCACCGAATCAGCGTGGGGTTGTCAAAGTTCACTTACCCGGCAAACTTTGGAGAGCTCCCCGAATGGTATTCGAGCATCCTCCGCAGCCCATCTGGACACTGAATTCGTATTGATGATCGGACATGCCTCGAATATGATGAGAAAAGAGTAAGTGAAGAAATTGAGAGCTCAGCAGTTTGCGAGATCAACTATTGTGCTTTATGGTAGACGAACTGTGTCAGTTCCACAGCTCTTGTAGTCGCAATAATAACGTGATTGCGGCATTTGTGCTACTTGCTCTGCGGCGAGCCTACAAATGTTAGGCGTCGTTCCCGTCCACTGAGGGTAGGAAGGCTTAGACCATTTAGGAAGCTGCAGTACCATGATGAGCTATTTTCGCGTATTTAAGCCGTCCTTAGCTGTGATACGCGCTGTAGGTAGTCAGGCCATAGGTAACGGATGCCTGCCTTGCTTCACTTGTATTGGTGGACCAGACCACCAATAGAATAGTGGTTGCACAAGCGGGGTGGGGGCCACATACTGTGCGGATATGCCTCATTCTTAAGGAAACCTTTTTTGTAACTAACTACTAGTTATAACTAAAGTTTTGTTTCTAGGTTCAAGCCAACGGGTTTGGCTTCCCGGCTGCTGATAAATAAATAGTGTTGCTTATTGGGGCGACTAGCTACGGCATATGGGCGGAGGGTAGGCGGTGATAACCACCCACTAATCCAAACGCCTGAGTGGCGATCCTGTTGCTTCGTATTCGTACAAAGTATTTGCCGGCAGAATACAAAGGTTCTCCTCGCACCAGAACAAAATAGTCCAGAACCCTCTCAAGTTAGTCTTTTCTCTCGCCCTTGGCTAACCGCAAAAAATCCTGGCCAGTTTATCACGGGCATCAAATCAGCAGCCTGCCAGACTTCCCTAGGATAATTGCGCGAATTGTGCGTTAGGTTGCAAATTGGTTACTGAAACGTTCGAATCGATCGATCCAAATCCGGCCGGTATATGTACTTAAGGCCTCTTGGAAAATACATAAGCTCGCCACCCCCCACTGGATCGGATGTTCTAAGTAATGTGTTTCGTTTCGCCTTTTCCTGTTCACCAGCATGTCGTCACCGCCACAATCGAGGCTGACTATTATTTTGGTCAACAATTTGCACTGCCCGTCTTGCACGACAAACGTTAAAGACACCCTTTCGGCTCTCCAGCCACCTCCATTTTCCATTTCGACATCTATCATTCGTCACGAGATCGAAGTCGTGCACCCAGTTACGCTCAGTACCGATCGCATCGTGCGCGCTCTCGAGGATGTTGCCTTCAAAGTTGACTGTGTCATACCCGATGCCGGCGAGGGTGCCAAAAAGGCCAACACCGCAGAATATTCGAGCAGAAGCTCTCAAAGTAGCACGGCCATCGCTCCGTCCAAACTACATATCTCAAAATGCGGTGCCTGCCGTGCGCAGTTTGATGTGTTATCGGCGACCACGTCTTCTACTGTACGGAAGGGGCCAGTCGCCAACGAGAAGGAGCATCGTGGTCCACATGATCGTCAGACAGAAGAAGATACTCTCGTGTCGGTTAAGGACGACTACCTCATCGACTCTCGGGTGCGAGTGACATTGTCCGTCAGTGGAATGTCATGCAGCTCTTGTGTAAGCAAGATAACTGAAGACTTGCAAAGTCGACCATGGGTGCAATCGGCCGACGTGAATCTCTTAACAAGCATTGCTGTTGTCACGCTCATGGATAAGTCGCATGTGAATGAGCTGCTCGAGACGGTCCGGGGAACAGGTTATTCCCCGGAGATGATCGAGTGTCGGGAGACCCGACACAAGCAGCCGTCGAATCCATCTGGACTTGGAGATAGGTGGCGAGCCTCATATGTTATCCAAGGTATGACCTGTAGCTCATGCGTCGGGAAGGTGACCGACGCGTTGAAGCAGAACGAGTGGATCACCACCGTTGATGTGAACCTCGTCTCTGCCAGCGCGACCGTTGAGCTCTCTGGGAAAGATCATCTGCACGAAATTCCTGGCATCATCAGAGACCTGGGTTATACGGCCACCCTCAGCGATGTCGAGAAAGCAATCCCTTCCAGCCAGCCCAGCTCGAAGCGGTCGGTTACCATCCAGGTGGAGGGAATGCACTGTCCACAGTGCCCACAGCGGGTTGTCAAAGCCCTTACCACCTACTCGGGCCGGCTGGAAGTGACCGCGCCTCCTAGCACAGCAGACCCTAAGGTTACTGTGAGCTATCTGCCACACTCGCCAACATTCACCATCCGACATATCATGCGCACGATCGCTGATATCGATAATGGCTTCACTGTTTCTGTCTACCACCCTCCGAGTCTTGAGGAACGCTCCCAAGCGATGCATCGTCGGCATCAATGGCAAATTGCTCGCCGGCTAATTTTGGCTGTGATAGTTGCTATCCCGACTTTCATCATCGGGGTGGTGTACATGTCACTGGTCCCCCAAAATAACCCCGGTCGGATGTACCTCGAGCGGCCTATGTGGGCCGGTGGAGCCTCACGTTCAGAGTGGGCACTTTTCATCATGTCAACTCCTGTGTATTTCTTCGCCGCAGACATTTTCCACCGCCGCCTGCTTTTTGAGCTTAAGGCACTCTGGCGGCCTGGCAGCAAGACACCTATCTTGCGCAGATTCTATCGCTTTGGAAGCATGGATATGCTGATGTCGCTGGGCACCAGCATCGCCTACTTCTCCTCTATCGCTATCCTGGCCATCGATGCCTCACAGCCACCCGGTAGCCCTAGGGCTTCTACCGGCTCGTACTTTGATGCAGTCGTCTTTCTGACTATGTTCCTTATGATCGGCCGGCTGCTTGAGGCCTATAGCAAGGCCAAAACGGGAAATGCAGTCAGCCTTTTGGGCAAGCTTCGCCCGACAGAGACCATACTGGTGGAACCGATAGAGGCGGGCAGCCCCCGGTGCTTTGTGAAGCCTAACATAGTCCCAATCGATCAACTAGAGTTTGGAGACGTCGTGCGGGTGGCGAACGGAGCATCACCTCCATATGATGGACTGGTAGTCGAGGGAGAGTCGCAATTTGATGAGTCGAGCCTGACTGGGGAATCGAGACCGGTCTCCAAGTTCATTGGAGATGAAGTCTTTTCGGGGACTGTCAATCAGGCAAACCCGGTCTTGGTCCGTGTTAGTCGTCTTTCAGGCAATTCGATGCTGGATCAGATAATCAACGCTGTTCGCCAGGGGCAGATCCGTCGAGCGCCAATCGAGCGCACGGCCGACTTGATTACCGGTTTCTTTGTCCCGGTCGTGACTCTGATTACGGTGTTAGACTGGCTGATTTGGTTGGGTCTTGGTGTCTCTGGCCGGTTGCCCGACTCCTGGAAGGGCGACATTCCGGGAGGCTGGGGTTTCTGGTCGTTGCAGTTCGCTATCGCAGTCTTTGTCATCGCATGCCCATGTGGTATCGGACTCGCTGCGCCAACGGCCCTGTTTGTTGGTGGAGGTCTTGCGGCTCGGCATGGAATTCTCGTCAAGGGCGGGGGTGAGGCCTTCCAAGAGGCCAGCCAGCTTGACTGCGTCGTCTTCGATAAAACCGGTACTATTACTGAGGGTGGTGAGCCATCTATTACTGATCATGAAATCATCGACATTGCGGATGCCGATCAGCTTCAGGGCGCCATGAGGGAGCTTGAACAGAACAGCAGTCACCCCATTGCTAGAGCAGTGGTGTCTTATGCCAGCTCTCATGAAGCACCGGTCCTCCAGGCACTCAAGGTGGAGGAAATACCTGGAAAGGGTATGAAAGGCTCATTCGATGCTCTTCGTTCGGACTCGTCTGTTATGGAAGTCATTGTGGGCAACGAGGCTTTGATGCATGATCATGGAGTCGTCATTCCTTCAGCGAGTGCAGAAATATTGACAGCATGGAAGCACCAGGCTAAGTCTGTGGTTTTAGTGGGACAGAGAATCCTCCCGGAACAATTCAGCACCGAAGCAGTCCCGTGGAAGCTCTCCGTCATGTTGGCAGTGGCCGACGCTATCCGAAATGATGCTAAGGGGACAGTTCAAGCTATACAGGACCGGCACATCGCGGTCTGGATGATCTCAGGAGACAATCCAACGACCGCATATGCGGTGGGTGGTATGGTCGGAATTCCGCCGGAGAACATTATCGCCGGCGTTCTACCCGAACAAAAAGCGCAAAAAATTCAATATCTCCAGAAAACTTTGCAGAAGAAATCGGGATCCGGCCGGGCAATTGTCGCGATGGTTGGCGACGGGATAAACGATTCACCCGCGCTTACCGCGGCCGACGTTGGCATTGCCATCGGGTCAGGGTCGGACATTGCAATCTCGGCCGCAGAGTTTGTCCTTGTGTCTTCTAGCCTTTCCTCTCTCCTTACACTCATCGATCTCAGCCGCGTCGTTTTCCGCAGAATCAAGTTCAACTTCGCTTGGGCCCTAGTTTACAACTGCGTTGCTATCCCAGTCGCTGCAGGAGTGCTTTATCCGATCGTCAGCAATGGTAGCCACGTTCGTTTGGATCCAGCGTGGGCCAGCCTCGCGATGGCATTGAGTAGTGTCAGCGTCATATCCAGCAGTCTTTTAATGAAGACTCGGCTGCCAATAGTCGGTTTTAGATCGGACGATTGAACTCTTCGGAAGCAAGGATTTTTTGCATTTAGCTAATTTGGGTTTTCTTTTTGCCTTTGCCTTTTCGACCTTTAGCTTTGGACTTTTGCATTTCGTGCGCGGTTGAGTGCATGGTCCTATAACGCTGTAACATCCTTCAACTCACATCGCCGGTAATCGAGATGCACACAACTACACAACTAAATCTAACACGCACATAATCAACCCTAAGTTACTTTCTACATACGACTTTTCGTGTGTTCTTGTCTCCTGACATAAAACAATCAGTTCGGTTAAGAGATTGCTGATGTTACCACCGACTCAGCGGTTGCAGACCTGATCAGGTTTCATGTGGGTTGCTTGGCGGCTGGCCTATGGAGTAGGCTCGCTTTCATTCTCGCGGTTTGTTTGATTATCAAATCTGGTTATATCGCCGAAGCCCAAATTCGTCTCGAACAGCGGGCACTTTCTATAACGTTTTGATCATGGACATGGTCTTCTGTGGCAATCCGCTCGTGCACCACGAGACCTTACCCACTGCTGAACAACGCCTTGGCTCGATCCTTACAATAAGATTAAAGTGGGATACGTGTCACTGAATTCTGAATGGTACAGTAGTAGCCGTAGACAGATCTAAAGTCCTTGAGCCCCTAGTGTCAACCCCTTGTAACCTTTCCGTCGCTTCAGCCGTGACATTGATAGAGATAGAGGCTAAGTGGGCTACTTAGACAATACAAGCGCAGCGCCACTCGGATGTAAAGTCCAGCTCGTTCACCTAGCTTCGCAAAATCACATATTAAATTCTACATATCCAGTCAAGTATGATAACAAGTTGAATACAGCTAAGATTATACCCGATTTTAAAACGGATTTTTTGAGATGCCCACCGAAAATCTAGCCACGAAGGATCGGAACACAACATGAATACGAAGATGGAATACAGCGCAGCCGAAGTAAAACAGGGCACTAGTATCAAAACCAGAGAAAATCCAATTTTGGTGGCCACGTGTTGTGCATTTACGTTGCCAGTTCAAGAAACTCTTCTTCCAAGTCCTGAGAGATGCTCCAAAGGCTAAGGTTGATTGGCCAAACAACAACACCTCCACAGAGGACCCCAGGTGCTTGATAAGATGGGTGCCTCCGCTCCATTCCGAGCTACCCGATCTTCTGCTCACCACCTCAAACTTATCTACCGATCCGAGCTACCTGCCATGTGATTAGCCCCGGAGATAATTTTCAACCGTCGTATGAAATTTTTTAGTGGTTTTTGGACGATACACATGATTTTATACTACTCCTACTCTGAATCTATTTGTACAGTGCCAACTTATAAAGGAGTTAACGATGAGAGCTGTGAATCACACCGCATTCCGATTCGTTGACTGACTAGTGCGTTCTTTGACTATAAACCGACAACTCCACTAATTCTCGACGGAATCACATTTGCGGCCGACATATTATTACACTAAACTGCACGCCAGCACCTTCGTCGCAACTCTCTAATCACTTCAATGTGACTTCTTTTGCGACCATGGAGCGAGAGTATGGTCATCTTATTAGGCGACAGATAAAATGGCATTGATCATATCGACAAGTTTGATTTCCTGAATGTCAATCCAGCGGCCCATATTCAAGTCAAAAGATACTTCGATTCAAAACAGTTTCGGGGCCACACGATTAGTACAATTCAACTCTGATGTGGTGTTCTCAACTCCCTATATTCGACACGAGATGGCTTTGCAGGCATAGGAAACGCCATTGTGTTTATATTTTAACGCAAAAGTACGAGACGCCGTATCAAGTCACTAAGCAATAACAGGAAACTCCCCTGAGACAAGACTTCACGGATGCGTTCTCACGCAGCTAGCTGAATGTCGAATATAGCCCGCGAACTCTAACAACTCCCCCATCCTTGGGCGGAAATGTCAAAAGCACAATGCTCACGTAGCCACCTGCAGTGCCTGCATCGGAGCATGAGTCTGGCCGATAAGAGCTTCAGACAGAGAAGGAATCACTTTGGGAGTCTTGTGGACGTATCCGCCGAAGAAAATCAGGACTTGCTCTTTGCTTGCCTCGCCAAGATCAGCAGCCTTCAGAGACCTCCCATGCTCGAAGTAATCGAAGCCACTTATTACCGAAGCAATTTCGATTAGGGACCGGATCATCGGTGACTCCAGGCCACACTTCAGACCGAGTTCGTACCAAGGGACCATCCCGTAGAGGATATCCTCTAACAGATAGCGGTGTTTCATAGTAGCCGGAGCGCTCTTGGTCTTGTTATGGATGACCGATCCCACCGCGAACTCGTGGTAGCCACCAAATTCCCGGTCATGCTGGTAATTCTGGTTCATGTATGTTGTGACAGAGACGAGGTCGAGCCCGTAGGCGCGAGCGATGGCGAGGCGCTCCTCGTCCACTTTTTCCGTTACCCGTGAGACGGAGGGCGACATGCCCTGCGCGTAGAAGTAAAAGTCACCTTTAGTGGCCTCAATCCATCCCACGTTCATGATCGCTGCTGCGCAGTGCACAACGGGGTTGATATTGTTTAGCCCCACCTCAAGGAGGTTCTGGCACCACACTAGGTTCTGCGAGAATATTGATTCAACCTGTCGGCGGAGGCCGAGCTCCGCTTGAGCTTTTACTCGCTCGGCATAGGAGGGCCAGGTCCAGATGGCTAGGCTCTTCTTTACGCCCTTGACGAACACGGTGTCATCTATAATGCGGACAGCGTAAGGGGCGATGTCAGTTTCGAGGACAGCATGGGCATTAATCTTTTGGCGGGCCGCGAGGTAGAAGAAATTGCCCACATTAACAATAAGGGTGTGGTTTTTCAGATCGAATCCGCTAAGGGCCTGGAGGATGGTGTCTTGTCCGTATGAGGGGACGGTGGTTACGATGAAATTGGAGTGTCGAATAGCAATGCCCAGGTCGCTGGTAGTTTGGATCTGGTACCTGCCGTTGATCTCTCCGCTTGCGTTCAACCAGCCGTCGTTACTCTCAATCATCGAAATCGCACCGCGGTGTTCCGGGTGGCCATAGAGCAGCACACATCTTCCACGGCTGGCCAGGTCGGCGGCAAAGGCACATCCGCAGGGCCCAGCGCCAATGACGGTGATCGGGGACATCGGATCGAAGTTCTCTGCAGTCATGATGTTCTGCTGTAGACTGGTACAAAGTTGCTAGGGACCGAGCGAATGGACCGAGCGAATGGAGCGATCTTGAAGAAGAGACTTGACAGTTTTAATCGAGTAGATTAATCTTGACTCGCTTGATCCGAGAAACGAGCCACTTTATGTACTCCTGAACCATGAATTGAATTAATAATTAGTAGAACTGTGCCACCCTGTTGTCAATCTCCCATGCGCCCGCCAGGTGCAGGTGTCTGGGCTATGCTCAACATCTCATTCCAGGTAAACTTTCTTTTGCTTGCGTCAAGTCAAGCCCCTTGGCGAGATTCACCGTGCATTGCATTCCGCCCGCCAGAGATCAGACCAGCTTGCTCAGATCGACTAGGGCAGATAGATCGATGAGCCAGTCGATCGTTTAGTCCCCGGCAGCCCTCGCGCCAAAAAGCCTGCGAACCCCACACGCGCAAGGATCCACGCCGAAGCCCAGTCTGACAGCATGTTCAGGGGCGTCCCCTACCAACCTGCTCCATCCCTTGGAACAGGATTCATATCGTCCACGCCTGTGCGTAGAGGACCTAAGCTGCCTCCGCTAGAATCCCCAACATTGAAGGCAGCGAAGAATTTCATGTCATTCCTAGTAAACTCTGTTATAAGTGCTCCGGCCACCAGAGTCCCATTGAGCCCTCGGTCGGTCATTCCTGGCGAGGTTTTCTGAGGGATCACAAAATTTCCAGCATATGAACTCTCGGAGGCATTCAAAGCTTACTCTTGCCTGTGGCTTTGTGCATTTTCCTTTTTTTTCCTTTAGTCACTTGAGTGATTGGAGTTGAGACCAGGCAGGAAGTAAATCTGGCTCGCAAAGGACTCGACCAGCTGACTGAATTCAAGTTTCTTACTCAAGTCCACCCTCTATGAATTCGGAATCGACGCTTGCTGAGGTCATGTCTCTACCATATAGCTCCTTCACCACGCTGCAGAAGCGATACATCGTCTTCATTGCGGCTGGAGCGGGCTTCTTTTCCTCGTTATCGGCGCAGATTTACTTTCCAGCCCTCAATACTCTGGCCGAGGACCTGACCGTGTCGATATCACTGATCAACCTAACTGTCACCAGCTACATGGTAATTATATTCCACACAGCCTCCCTTGCGATTTTTGTAAGAGGAAACACATTAACGGGATGGCCCTCATTTTCTCAGATTTTTCAAGGGATCGCCCCCATGTTTTTCGGCAGTTTTGCCGATCAGACTGGCCGTCGTCCCACGTACATTATCTGTTTCATCATCTATATAGCGTCTAATATTGGTCTCGCCGTACAGAACAGCTATGCCGCCCTGGTTGTGCTGCGATGTATACAGAGCTCTGGAATCAGCAGTACTGTTGCCCTTTCCGCGGCCACAGTTGCAGATATTAGCACGAAAGAGGAGCGTGGCTCGATGATTGGTATCGTCATGACTGGCAACTTTATGGGCCCAGCTATTGGCCCTGTAATCGGCGGCCTGCTCGCCCATTATCTAGGCTGGAGATCCATTTTTTGGTTCCTGACCATCGCATCTAGCGTCTTCTTCCTGTCTCTCCTTTTCTTCCTTCCCGAGACAGCACGGGGTATAGTCAACGATGGCTCTTCCCCAGCACAGCCATGGAATCGGCCCCTTATTCACTACCTTTCTCGTCAGAACGGGACCAACCTGCCTCTTTCTTCATCGGAAAGTGACCGACCCTCAAGCAGCGACTCGCCGAGGATAAAACACAAAGTCCGATTCCCTAATCCGCTTAAGCCTCTTATGGTCGTGTTTGATCTAAATTCGATAATAATCTTGCTGGTTACTGGTGTCATCATGGGGGGGAATATGACGGTTCTCTCGTCTATCACGGAATTATACACCAGGCAGTATGGCTTGGATATGCTTCGCATTGGTCTTTGCTACATCCCTATGGGCACTGGATCCATCGTGGCCTCCATTATCACGGGCAGATTCCTAGACTGGAACTACCGCCGCATAGCCTCTGAGAGAGCCGATGAGTCGGTCCCGGTGGAAAAGGCCCGTAGCATGATCACTATTTCCCTCGTTATTTTGGGCAGTGTGACCGTGCTGTCATTTGGCTGGGTGCTCCAATACGGTGCATTTCTCGCGGGGCCTGAGGTACTTCTATTTTTCATCGGCATAGGCCAGACCGGCGGCTTCATTTCCACTTCTACCTTGCTGGTAGATCTGCATACCTCCCAGCCAGCTGCTGCGACAGCGGCGAATAATCTGGTGCGGTCCCTTTTCTCGGCTGCTGCGTCGGCCGCTATCGACCCTATGTTACGCGCAATGGATCGTGGGTGGGCTTTTACTCTTGTGGCATGCATTTTACTGAGCACGGTCCCATTACTTTTACTGCTTTGTGGGGGTTGTCGTCAAAATCAAGAGCCTGAAGAGAGGTCAGGGGCTTAAGACACTTTTGTGAGATATTTTCGATCGAAACATGTAGGAGGTCGATTGAGATATCTTTCCCTAAAACCAGTACAAAGCAATTTCGTCTAGTCACACTTGTAATTCTTGATCCGGCCACTACAAGGTGCATATGAAATCTTCACAACCTTGGCATCACCAGCTACTGGCTATGGCTATTCGTAGAGAGATTGGTCTGACCATTGAGAAAGACATATGTACGGAAATAAACTCTGTCGGTAGGTTCAGCCACTGTGGTGCTCACTGTGTTACATACCTGTATGGCTCCAGGGAAGTAGTGTGCCATCAGTGGCCCAACAGGAAGTTGCCAGTTGGCGGCTGCAAAGGCTCGTGACGAAACACATATCAGGCACTACATACATTCTCTGCCAGATTCAGTTATTTAATATAGCTTGGTATGTAGGTACAGTAGTTGACTGCTTTACGGCGACGTCAGGTAAATGCGCGAATTGTGCGTTATTTGCGCGAATTGTGCGTTATTTGCGCGAATTGTGCGTTGACAGTTCTGTGTATCATCCTGGTATCGCGGAGCAAGGGCTACATACCCGCTGATCTGGGTCGTAATCTGTGTCGTGACCTTGGATAGAGCTAGAAAATATGTTCAATAATGGGGGTTGGTTAGTCCCCGCCATGATCTCATGATGTGCCACGCTGGAAACAAGGTACGCATGACTGCCAGCCGCGAAAGGTCGGGAAGCAAGAAGGGGCTGATCGGTGAGCGATCAGGTCCCTTAGTGAGCAGCTCAGGGACGAGGCTTTTACTTCCGTACAGTATTACTTCCCAGGACGAAGCGCAACCTCTGCGCGGGTCGCTACTTGAGGTCCTCTTTTGATTTTGCCACAACCCATCCCAATCCCCACGACACCATCTTAATGTCAAAATTTATTCGGACAAACAGGAGCGGCAACGTACACGCTGATGTATGTTCTACCCGACACAGGCTCGGGGCAAGCTTTGGAGGCTTCTGTTCCCTCTTAGAATTTTCGGCTTTGCCATCAAACAGAACGTCTTTCGCTCCAGCGCCAAATTCACGAACTTCACGTCACCATGGCCATCGTCACGAGAAGCCTGGCCAGTAATCTGCCGCGCACGTGGGATCGACTGGCCCTTCTTGTTTTGCTTCTTGATATGCGTAACATTGGCCGACAACCATTTGAGGAAATTACGAAGCTTGGCCTTGTTTCCTCTCCTGTCAATTCCCGAGGCTAAATCGGTTCCCTAGGAAACATATGAACAAACATGGCCGTCCCTTCACATGCCACGAGTCAAGCTGCAACAGAAAACAAGGCTTCACCTCTGCCGATGGTCTCTTGCGCCATCAGCGTGAGGTCCACAAAAAGTACATCAAAGGACCGCCAATCATGTGCCCCTACGTAGACTGCAATCGCAGGTCCGGAAACAGATTTACGCGGCGGGGGAACTTAGAGAGCACCTGCGCCATCGGCATCTACACAAGAAGGACGTTATTTGTGGCTCTTCTATACCAGGCAAATTCTTGGAATACCATGGGCGTCCGTGCTAACCATCCACCCGTCGCGACTGTCGATCGTTACCACGACGATTCCACCTTTGAACACTTCTCAGAGGCAAACGATATAGCTAGTCTTCGTATTCAAGCAACTGACTCGGGACATTCAGGAGCAGGATCGACGCCTTGAGCTGGAGCATAATGTGACAGTCTACAGACTGCGATTTCCTTGTAGTCCCATCTACAGTTAAGAAAACAATATGTGCCTAGTTAGATCTTGTCCGAACATATGCTAGATCGAATCACCAACGACCACCAACGCACCGACCTTTGGACCCATTCTCCCTGCTGTGAACTAGTTCGTATTAACGTTGTCAATAAGAAAATCACTGTAATGGTGTAGATGATATTGTATTGTAGATGATACTGTATCAATTGCAAAATTTTGTCTGTGTGGTCCTCACTGACAGATAGCAGGTACTATATAAGGGCATGTTCAATCCTTCCCTTCTTTCTAACCGAACCCCAAAATCTTCTTAGCTTTCCTTTATTGATTTTCCTTCGTATATTCGCGATATGTCTCCTCCCAAGGAAACACGAGGCAGAGGCGAGCCATCTCCAGAACATGAAAACTTTACACCAGGACCACAAGAGCTTGAAATTCACGACAGAATCCATGCTGATATTCTTCGTGCTGTGATCGTGGCTACTGAAGGGGTGAGGTTTCAGTCTGAAACCAGGCCTCGGGATGCGAAATGTCTCGTCGAGAACATCGTGGGGACAACAGAGGAAATGAAAAACCAGAAAGATGCGCCTGGGCAAGGCGAACATACTTGGATTCTCAGAGCGTACAATGAGATAGCCGCCATATATGGTCTACTTGGGATGACACAACAAGAAAAGGAAACGCCCGAGAATCTTTTAGTCAAGCTGGAGGAAAGACGAGGACACGATGACTTGGAGACGATGTCCATTATCCAGGGAGATGCCCTTTCGGTACTGGGAATGGGGCAGCCTAAAGGATGCAGTCTTGCTTTTTGAACGAGCTCAAGAGCCAATCAAAATCCTTTGGAGAGGGCAGCATCCATGTCATCAAGAACACTCTGTGTCTTGCCGCCACTGCTATGGTACTTTCATTGAAATATGGCGATAAAGCAAGTGGTTATCTGAGGATTGAGGAACTTCTGCAGAGCACTAAAGCCTCAGAACGGGTGGAAGCTTGGGACAAAAAGCAGCTAAGTGGTGATCCTTTTCAAGTGCCAGATGCCTTCTTTCTGTTTAAAGTCACTCGACAGATGGTACACGGCATCTTTCCAAAGAAATTCGAAATCGGACTTATTCATCGAAGTGTCATTCTTAAAGAATTTTAATTGGCCTCTATCAATCCGAGCGAGTAATAGGTTAACAATTATATTTCTTTGAAACTAGGTACGTCAGAAGAGAAATTGGAAGCACCGTGCTCCTCGAAATAGTTATTAACTAGAAGCTTTCTCAGGGATGAATTATCCGTCATTCCGACAAGGCAACTGGCCTCCACGCTTCACTGAAGCAGAAGGAAATCCAGGAGTCAAGGCTCTCGGTACGCTCAAATAGCCCAGGAGACTCTATCGGCCTGGCCTCTGCGGATCGTCTTCCCCTTCTCTTTGATAGCTTCGAGAATGGCCTCTTAGGAAAGCGAGGGCTCCACTAGGACAACATTCTGTTCCTCGAGGCTGTTCGCGAGGGACTTTAAACCTGAAAAGCGGAACCAGCGTGGGGCATTCTCGAACGTAACGCGAAAATCCCGCAGCGCTACCTACTCCACCGGATCTATGCGATATTTAAAGACCTGATTCAGAAGTACATTATCTTGAATGATTACACTGTACTCAGATTTCACTCCCTGTCTTTCAACATGACGTGCGAAAAATGCCCTTCGGGAGAGCCGGCCCCGGACCATGACCAGCCTCTTGTCCGACGCCTGCTCCGTATATGCACAACGTTTCTACCAGAGGGATCCGCTCTGCTTTTGTCTTCTTGCTGTTGGCTGCCGGTACTTTTTCCCCACCTGTTTCATTCCAAGGCGTATGTACTGATTTTTTAGACGGCCCTCGATTTGCTCTTTGCAGGATCAGTGACCGCTGTTGTCGTGGATCACCTTCGGAATGCTCTCCTGGCGACATCTATCGCAGGCCTTGTCTGGGGAGTGCGGCGCGAAGGCTTCAGTCGCCGAATGGTGTGGCGAATTGTGGTATGTGTTGCGTTGTTGGTGTGGGCACAGTATAATCGCCGGGGGCAGGTGGCACGGAAACCTGGATCGCATAGTTGCCATTGAGGCTTAAAAATCTCAAGCAGATAAGGCTTCGTTTAAACTCATCCGTGTTGTGCGACTGTTTATGTGGATTCATCGTTTGCTTTTGTGAAATAATCCAGAGACAAGCAGTTATTGAATGGACTACGTGGCTACAAACACGCTTCTTAGCTAGAGGGATCTTGAATCTTGAAGGAATATAATGTATTGAACAGCCCGACTGTTAAGATGTTTTGTATGACAACAAAGGATGACTTGGTCACCGCAACTTTACAAAAAGTCCATTCCCACCATCTACTGCTTGTTCAATTTTTTATTCCGGAAGCCGACCAAAGGCAACCGAGTTCTCATGAGCAGACTACTGCAGATGACACTGACACTGCTCAAAGCCATGGCAAGACTCGCCACACCGGGTCCAAACGAACATGCTTCCCGTTACTCACAATGGGATAGAACACACCGGCAGCGACAGGCACGGCAATGCAGTTGTAAAATAAAGCCCAGACAAAATTGAACTTGATGCGGCTGAACACCACGCGACTCAGGTCGATGAGGGTCAGGAGCGACGTCCAACCGGAAGAGACAATGAGGGTTCTCTTGGCAAGAAGTGTATGTCAATGAACGTGAGGTGTTTTAATTCTCACTCTCTGAAGAGGTACTTTTACAGCTATTTCTAGTAGTAAAATACAATAAGCGAGAGTGCGATGTAACTGCAAGAGTTCCATGGTATAGAGCATCCAATGAGCCCTACATAGCCATTGCGCATGAATTCAGAGACGTTGAGGCCTCAGGCTTGGTGAGCCAATATCTCAACAAAAAGGTGCTACGCTGATTGACTTTCATGGTGAAAGTGAGAATGAGTAACCACCTACGTCTGCTAGTCTATAGAATCCTCTAAGAATTGATGGACATGCTATTGCCCCGACACTCGACTCTTCCCTACGATCAAGATGGATGCCCCTAACAGCACGTCAGACCAGGAAGCAGAAGGAGATCAACAGCCTAGTGCATTGCCCATCGTTTGTGAAAAAGACAATTCGCAGGAAACTTCCGATCATGCACTAATGGTAAGTGGAACGACTCAGCTTCGAATGCTCTTGCTGACCATTACAGCTCTCCCCTCGCAACAGGAAGCAGAAATAAGACATACGTGGGCGATCGAGCCTTTTCGACCTATTTTAAAAGTGCTAGAAGACCTCGAACGCGACGATCCCAAATTCGCCTTTCCCGCGGCTCGACTTGTCGGGCTCTATCGACGCCTATGGGATTCGTGCGTGTCCAAACACATCGATGGCCAGAAGCTAGACCAGAGCAATCGTATCTCGGAGGAGGCTAGCAGACACCTGACTAAAGAGAGGGACGGACTTCAGCTTCGCCACGACAAGCAGCTGTCTCGGCTGCGCTTTTTCGAGCAGGCACTGGAATCATCTCGGGTTCGACTGACTCGCGTACTCGATGACTGGGATCACCCTTCCAGACTCAATCTACCAGGGTTCTTGGACAACGCAAGAGAAGAGTGAAGCATTGCATGTTCATATTTGTCTTATGTCTGTTACAACGTGGAAAATAACCAACAATTTCACAATGAATGAGGATTAGCGCATGCCAGCTTATGTCTTTTTAGTTGTTCACATTAAGAAGGCATATGATAGCCTTTGCGGAGTGTGTCAGCGGATAGTCCGGCCTGTTCTAGGTCACTTCTATTAATTCAATATATTATAGACAAAAATACGGATCCAGTGACAATGTGGGCAGTATAGCTAGCGGAGGAAGGGTCGAATGAATCGGCCGTCTCGCATTGCATCGAAAGAGCTACTTGGGGTAGACGTCGCCAGCCCTAACAGACCACCCAACCTTCCCCTTGGAGACCGCTTCAACAATCTTTGTGGAGTATTGACGTCTTCCATTCTGCTTCGAATGGCCCTCAGGATGCAATCGTTCCTTGCTAGATCCATCGATCTCCTGAGGCTGAAGTAATTCAGTCCGGGATTGACCACAAGTGCATCAACAATCGGGAAATGTCCACCCTTGACTGCCAACATCAATGGATCCTCAGAATATCGATTTCTGAAGCTTACATCAATTCGATCATGGCGTAGCAGCGCCTGGACCATCTCCAAGTCACCGCCACGGGCAGCCATGCAGAGAGCAGTGTCGTGAGTTGCGATCGTGCTTTCATTGATGTTCAGACGTGCGTCTTGTTGCACTAAAAGTCGTACCACATCGAGATGGCCATGTGCAACCGCTCGACAAATAGGCGGATCTATTAAATCCATTCCATTAATCTCCACGCCCGCCATACTCAGTAGACATGCAACCGTGTCCACACTTCCGTGCAATGCGGCAGCAGACATTGATTGAGATCTATTCCTGGCACCGCAAGCAGTGCCGTAAAACTGCAGTGTCCAATCTGGCTGCCGCGTGATGAAGCGATGTAGAAGACCCCTCGCGCCTCCCGTAGCCTCCGATGAAGTTAACATCGATGCCGATCTCGGCCAGTAGCCTTTCGGTTATCTCATCGTATGACAAGTACGTTGACAGCCATAGAGGCGTATTGCCTTCTTTGCCTTTGCAGTCCACATTGGCACGAGGGTAACTCAGGGGCATATTGACCACTTCGAGGCGTCTGCTATGGACGGCGAGATGGAGGGGCGTACCACCATTTAGGTCGTGGGCGTCCAAGTTCAGACCCTTTTGTCCAAGAAGCCGCTTGACAGCATCTACCGACCCATAGGATACCGCATGGTGAAGAGGTAGCTCAGCCTCTTGTGATGATTTGGTACCAAGAAACACTTTGGCCATCGGATCGTTTGAAAAAATCATTTCCATCACGGGTCTATTGAAGCGACATGCCCAGTCCCATGGCGAGTGGCCCGAATCGTCCTGTAGATCAGTGTCGCTGCCACTAGAAAGTAGCAGATGCACGAACTCTATTCTGCCCGCGAAGACTGCTAGGTGGAGCGCCGTTAGGCCGTGTTTGTGCTTGATGTCCACCTGGACGTTGGGTTGATTTAAGACACTTTTGACGGCGGAAAAGGTTCCGTAGTGGATAGCATACCACAGGGCGCTCTCCCGCGCTTGATTTTGAATGTTGATGTCTAGGTCTCCACGACTGAGCAAGAGGTCCCGCACAGCAGCGGAAGAGTATTTGAGCGCCCTCATTAAAGGAGTTTTGCCTCGGTAAAATGCATTGATGTTGGCGTTGTGCTGGAGCAAAGCCTCCGCAAGACCAACGTTGTCGTATATGACGGCCAAGTGCAACAGATTGCTGTTCTGAAATTTGATGTTGTATTTCCAGATGCTGGGCTGCAGTTTAAAATCAAAGTCTTTGCATGATTTTGCGAGGGCAAATAATGCACTACCGTCCAAATACGACACAATCCACAGCAAAAGCTCGTTGGGCAGGTCTCTGATGTTTGGCTGTAATGTATTAGCTCATCGGTAAACTCCGTAAGAACGAATTGAACAGACCATGATGGGACAGCGGATTGAGCTAACGAAATGTAGATGGGGGTGAGGTGAGAGTTGTGAAAGTAGGATATGGGAGGCCTTTATATACTCACCTCAGCCAAATTCCACGGTCAGCTATGAGTGTGGTCTGTCAGTCCGCTGAGAGGTGCGTAGCAATCACAAAGGGTTAACAACAATGCTCAGGCGGAGTTGTAGAATCTCTGCTCTTGGGAACGCCAAAACTGTTCCTGGTAGTGTGTCGATGGCCTGGGAACCGAATCTATCTCTACGTACCCACATCTTGCGTCTAGCGCCATAAGAATAAATCACAACCTATCATGCACTTCGAAATTCTATAGGCAACCCAGAATTTAACCCGGCATTTGTCGACTTTGCTGCTCACCGCAGTAGTCAGTCTGTTCGCTAATGCGTGGTCACCGCGATGGATAGTCAAAAGTGCAGCTGATTGCAGCAGTGGTCTGGAATGATATCCCTTCATGCAGGCCATGACCGGCTGTATACGGCGCATACTGCGTGTGAATGCATTCTTCGACGTACCGACTGTTTCAATGAAGTGTTCCATGCCAGCCACGCAGCCATGTAGGTAAGGAGCCCACGGCGATGGCATAT